CTGGTCTCCCCGCAATCGTGGCGAGAGCTACAGTAGACCCTCCTATATAGACTGCAAATCACACTGTCAGGGACTGTGTGATATTTAATGTTGAGTGTGTGATTTTGAGTGAGTGATGTTGAGAGGTGTGATGTTGAGAGTGTGATGTTGAGAGTGTGATGTGGCGGGAGGGCAAGGAGGAGGAGGAGGCGGTGGGATGCAAGGTAGAAAATAAGAACCCCACAATAGAATGTGGGGACAAACAAACAGAAAACATCGAAATGAAGGAACCATTTTTTCTGAAGAAGTCTGTGTTTAGTTTAACGATGTTCAATCGCGTGGAATTCCGGGCGAAGAACCCAGGATGGAGTTGCAGAAACTGGATGCCAAGGAGCGCTTTCTGCCGAACTGGTCGACGTGGTTGCTTTTAAATGCCTGAAACCGTTGAGACCGCGAACGACCCCTGAAACAACCCGGAAACGACAGGGAGCATGTGGGTCAAGGCCCACCAGAAGAACCAGCTAACCAGCTTCTTGGTTTCGGAAGAAGTCTGGAAAGAAACCCGGAAATTTGGGAACTGATCTATCATGACATGTGGGTTCCGAAGACATTCCTCGTGTTGATCGCCTTGTCCGACCCGGGACGAACCCTATAGGGATCAATCATATACCTTCTCAGGTTCGGTACGACTGGACCACCCTGGCACCTACATAAGAGTGTTTCCAAGCACCTTGAACGGGGGTACTTGGATCCTTAGGGGAGTGGAGAATCCTCCTGCAGATTCAATCTACTAGGAATTTCTAGTGATTTAAGAAGTTTAGTAAATTTTAGTTGTTTTCATCGTTTGGGGAGGTTTCTAGGCGTTCTAGGCGATGTGGTTTGAAGCGATCGATGTTGCGTGATGTTGGTGTGATGTCCCACCCCTCCCATCTGCTGCGCTGCGCTCTTTGCCAACTTCTTTGCCAGCGACTGGTGCAATCCTAGCGCCGCTGGGCCGCAAAGGTTTTGTCAAGTAATCCTTTGTAAAGACCCAAGCAGCGTCGCATGGTCGCGACAGATGCTGCTCCTCCATGGGTGGCTCGGTGAACTCGGGACACCCGTCCTATGAAGTCTTCGTCGCTCCAACATCCACTCACCATCGGTGATACCCTGGATGTTGCAAGCTTTTCTGCGATTTCCCAAAACATATGCAATTTGGGTCTCAATCGATATAGCTTCCATGACTTGGAATAGGATTGCGAGGCTAAGTGAGCGTAGGCATCCTGAGTTGGTGAGACTAAGTATAGATCAACATCGAGCTGGAAGGTCGCAAGGGCAAGGGCTTAACAAAAGAAAGAACCTATAATGCAGGCATGGCTCGCAGAACTCAAAGGCTGCCCTTCTCGCAGTTGCAGAATCTGTGGAAGACAAAAAAGTACCACTTCCATTGAGGATGGTAAAGAACTTGTTCACTGTCCGAACTGCGTAAAGGGCCATCTCAAGCATCTCACAATCGCATGACACCTGCAGAAGCCAAGTGAGCCAAGGTTTCAACTCACTGCCTCTAAAGCCGTATGGTAACTGGTGACTTGGCAACAAATTAGGCACCTGGTGGGTGAGAAAGTCTTCCAAAAAGCGGCAAACAACACCAGTATCATGACCTTTTCCAGCTAGGCTTGTGGGGAACGTACGTGGCCTTAGTTGTTGTAGATTGGATTGCGCGAAACATGTTGCGCAACACAAGTTCTTTCTACATCATGCAAATGAACATTAATTAGACAAGAGTCCCCTTCACGCCCATGGCTTTCTGGGTCCACACATCACACGCTGTGTAGCGCTTCTCTCTCTTGCACCATTGGATGAACGCAGTGTAAGCTGCATCGAGAAAGTGGTTCAACTTATCCCCAAAAGGACTCACAAACTTCTTTTTGTTGGCCAGCAGAACAATTGTCGATGAACAGAAATCAACACCAATGCCAATATGGAAGGTGTGCACAATGTCGGGCATGATGCGCATACATGAGTCTGCACCCGGCACTACCCAAAATGGGTGTCTGCGTTTGAATGGAGACCTTTCTGCAGGTCTTGGCAGTGCCTTCCACGAGGCGCCAGCTGAGAAGTCATACCACTCCTGGCACAGGCTAGTGGGGCTGGAGAGAGTTGGGCTTTTGAGGTGGTACTATGTGGTACTCAGATTGTGTTTGGTTGTTCTTTTTGAGGATCCAGACCTTTGCTTCGCACCAGTGACATAGCCTTTTGGAGGTGAAACCGGTGGCTAAGGCAAATGCCTTGGTTTCTGCAGAAACTGACCGAAATACGGTGCACGCGCACAAGTTGGAAAACCCATATAAGGGCCCAGGGGCTTTTCGAATGTAGGGCCAATCACCTTTGCCCGCGATGAAGATAAACTTGAATCGATGGCCTCCTTTGACCTGCGAAAAGGAATGCATGGTTGTCATACAGGCCCTTAGTCTAAACCTTCTTCCCGCCTCTATCCCTGTATAGTGGAGATCACGCATTTCATTGGCCCAGGCCCTGTTTAAGTCTTCAAGAGTTTGTTCTCCATTAAAAAAGCGACTCGTGATGCAGGAGTGCAAGATCCGGGAGCAAAATGAATGCCTCAGCTACCCATGGACGGCAATCTTAAACATATATATGTTCCCAAAATAGACATAATAATGGTCAGCTTCCTACTTTGTTTGGGATCCTTTAAGTGGGATTGTAAAATCAACGCCCAGCAAAGAATTATGTGCAAGCAATGGGGCCCGCTTGTGTTGGTTTTGGCCAGGCCCTTCCATGACAGCACCGGTTGCCATGCTTGTACCATAAATGGTTGTCGCCGAAGGCCACGGCCCTCGTCTCCGTGTATCATGTACGGTATAGCTGTCTCAAGATCAGTTCCATCAGTGAAGACTGGATGATTCGGGTCACATTGTTGAAAGGTGCCCCAAAAAAAATCGCAAGAGTGAACGCCACTTGCTTTCTTGCTCCAGCATGTGCCCTCCAAGCAACACCTGGGGAAACTGTTCCATGAGAAGTGGAATCCAGCTCTTCATCGGAAGAACAGGCCACCAAACACGTTCGATTCTGACTTTCGGCTTTCGAAACCTGATGGTCGTTTGAACTACATCGATAGGAACTTGAAGTGATGCACCAGCTTTGTGGATTGCAACGGTCAGGTTCCTTGTCACATTGGTCTTGCTGTTGGCCGCCGATGCGATCTTGCAAAGAAGATCTCCAGTCCCTTGGCACAAGAGGGGGATGGCTGGGTTTGCTGAGACTGTATTTCACAAGCGCATCATACTATATAGTACGTTTAATTATAGATAGAGCTACGTACATATTACTATATCTACGCCAAGGCGCTGTGGGAGCGATTTGCAAGCGCGATTTGAGCTGTCCTCGTAACTTTTTTGGCTGTCTCTGCCTTGGGTGAGCAGTTATCAATCACATGTTCCACATATATTCATATGAGTTTAGCTTTCCCGAAGTGAAACAAAGTTTTGTCAAGAAACTCCCGAGAAATAGCTTTCTAGAAGCTCCAAGGCATGGGTGTTGTCCAGCTCGGTTTGCTCTCTCTCGCCATCACATCCTCCAACGATAGCTAACTCAGGAAAAAGAGTTAACTCTCCTATAGCAAGAAAACCAGCATGCGCAGGATCAGCTTGAACATTTTGGCCCCGCCTCCAACCATAGAGTGCAAGGCAATCCGTGCATCACGACCTGGCAAGTCACACCCAAATTGCCTAACCTCGGTGTACCGCGGTGTACCGCGGTGTAGTTCTTGCAGTGCAGTGGGCTCCAAACACGATGCACATGCACAATTTTTGAGCAGCCCCGAGCATTATGTGTCAAATGGTGTGAGCCACTTCTCGGCCACTGGAATCCATATGCTAAGTTTCCATATGGAGCGAGTTCGAAAACGAACTATAGCGAACCCCAAAAGCCAAATCCAGCTACTTACTTCTAGGCCTTAGCCTTAGACTTAGACTTCCTCTTTGGACGAACCTTATCCTTTGCTGCCGGGGCCGATTTGGCCTTTGCAGCAGCGGCTCCATTAGGAGCGGCTCCCTTGGCCTTGGAAGCAGCTTTCGCCTTGGGTGCCGGCTTCAAGGCCCTGCCCAGGAGCAATCAATGAACATATATTTAAACTTAAACTGAACAAACATCACCCACAAAGAGCCTTGCTCTTGACAAAAGGTTGTTGATTTTGATGTCCTTCCGCGTGCAATTGACAAAGATCTTCCGCAGATCCTCTCTTGAAGCTTCCTTAAAGCCACTTAATGGAATTTGAAAACTATATAAATGTGTTCAGTGTTATGCACATTTTTTCATGCAACCGTGAATCTGAAGGTTCAGCCATTTCGCAGCATTTGTTCTGAAAATCAACCAACTCATCGTACTGCAGTTGGTACTCTTCCTGTGTCTTCTTGAGCGAGTCAGCCATCCTGGGCCGTACAGCAGTGTGGACACGCAAATACGTGGCAGAAGGACAGGCTTATTAAGACCATGTGCAAGCTAGTGTCTCATGCGACCTTGTGGTGTTGTACGTGCTGATCTTCTCCTCGCCGTTCCAAATGTGACATAATCAAACCGTGCTAGGTGTGGTTACTGCGTGGCGTGGTTCCTCCATGAACAAAAACACCCAAAAAGCGAGAACCACTCCTGGAATTCTGCAACCTTGTCAATCTTGCGGCCCATTTGGTCGATGTAAGACGTGATGTAACCTCGCCCAAGACTCAGAAACAAAATCGAAAATATGTACGTGGCGCATCTCTTGTACTTTGATCAAGTTGATGTCAATCTACATTGACGTATTCAAGACACTGAAGGGATCAGCATTTTGCTGAATCATTGGAAGCCCCTGCATTCGAGCGCTGTTGGCAGATTGCACAGACAAGCTTCCTCCGGTGTTGACCGCTGAAGCACCTCGCCTACAAACAGACACACACACACACCCTCTTTAAAGTATAGTGCTATTGCTTTCCACGACTAGTACTACATGCTCTTGCGCAAAAAGACTTGCACACAAGCATCATGAGCTAGGTCAGTGGTTTGCTAAAAGGCCTGATCAGGCTATCGACATCCACGCCAGAAGTGTCCAATAGATGACCTTCTGGATCATCAACCAGCATTTCTCCAGACCCCTCGGTCTCGTGCGAAGTTCTGTCGGTATGCGTGTAAGTGGCTTCAACTGGAATGCGCCACTCATCTGCACCATGAACTGGGTTCTTCTTTAACAGGTTTCTGCTCGCAGCCCACTCACGACTGTTCTGGATCATCTGCCTGGGTTGCACCCACTCAGAGCAAAACAATCGTATACATATTATAAAGTGTGCACATAAATACCACTGCAAAACATATATTAAGCTATGCGCTCGGTCCACCCGAGGCGTCCAAGAGATACCTCTGTGTGCCACCCTCCCTGGAGCGTCTCTTCAACAGTTTTGGAATGAAGCGATTTGACCTTGAGCTCCATCTTGCCAAAGGTTCCCTCTCTACGCAAAATCTCTGCCAACTTCTGACCTTATGTGTGGAACAAGCTGCTTTGGGTGGTGTTGCATAGAGCGCAAATGGGTAAACACAATATAATTGGCAATCATGGGGCGTTTCTCAGGGTCCTTGAACATAGCACATGCTTCCTTGCTGGCACTAATCTCACCGTCTTTGTTGGGGGTGAAGTACCGGCGCAACCTGAAGTCATGCGCACAGCAAGTGATATTCAAAGACAAACCATATGAAACATATCAACTCGATCGTCTTTATAGACTAGAAGCTTCCAATACGTACCATCCTTGTACATGTTCGGCGGGTCGGCATCGGCTCCAGCACGCGCTGGAGGAGGAGGTTTCGCAGGAGGGGCCGCAACAGCTGGTGAGATTGGGCGCAAAGAGGGAGGAGGAGGAGATAATCCCAAGCTCTTGGGAATGACCGGGGAAAAGGGTGACAGAGAGCGAGGCTGAGCGTCGGGCCACTCTTCTGATCTAGACTGAACAGTGGCAACTGACGGTGATAGTATCAACGTCTTGGGCAACTGCCTCGTTCCCTGATATTGCTCACGTCTGGCTTGTGCATCTGGCGTCTCCGTGGTTGGAGGGGGTGGAGAGGGCATTCCAGGCGCAAACAATCCGGCAGCTTTGGGTTGCTGGAAAAGGTCACCTGAGACATGAACATATATGAAACAAAAAATTATCGAAGAACATCGTTTTCTATGAAAGTGAACTTCTTCAGGGCGTGACACCTGATCCCAATGATGGGTCCCCTCCACTCGCAAGTCCCAAACTCTGCTGAAGCTCCTTGATGGCAGTTTGTGCCGCCTGAGAACATATGCGAGTGGACAAGGCCAAATCTCTCCAAAACTAAATATATAATTACTTATAAACACATCTATGTGTATTGTTCTCTAGAAGACATGCTTACTGCACTCATCCATCCAGAAGGGCTAGTGAAGTCGAGTGACATGTATTTGAGCGTCAATGTCAAGACCACCCTGGTTGTTCAAGGCCTCAAGTCCCTGGTCCAAGGTATGGCACGAAGCCGCTTGCAACACAGTCGAGCCTGACATGTCACCCTGTACGCAACAGAAGTAAGTACGATCTGAGCCAACTTTCCCTGCACAGTAATGTGGCGGCGTGCACGAAAGCCCTCGAGACATGAAATGCATTCTGACACATTCAAACCAAACACCGCTGTACATAGGCATTTTTGGATGCCCAGGCCAAAGCTTCACGAAACAAATGGTTACACGTGCACAGCTGCTCGCTTCTTTACTTAGAGGCCCAGAAAAGATCTATATAATAGCTATCTCAAACTACGAGGTTTACGAGATTTCCCGATTTGCGGGCGTTTGCTGGTTTTTGCGGGCGTTTTGCGGGTTTTTGCGGGCGTTTTGCGGGTAATTCTGGTCGTTTTTTTTCTAATACTTCAAGTTCTGGTGATGGGCCATCATGGTCGAGCGAGAAAATGCTAATTAGCAATTTCATGGCTTCGAATTATGCTTCAAGCGTGTCTTCACACACTTCATTGATGCCAAAGGGGTCCGGATTCTTCACCTGGGAATGGCAGTGTGAAGGCAGAACATGTTCTTCACACATCATGCCGAATGGGGTATCACCGTTCAATGGGGATCTGTTTCATTAGACGAGTTGCCTTCGCTAGGGCATGAGCAAATTCATCTATAGCAGCCTTCCATTCCCTAGTTGGAATACGTAGCTTCTTGTTCTTGAGGATGTAAAAAAACATCTTGGGAAGCTCAGCATCTTCCCACGTATCTCCCATCGGCATGCGTTTGAACGCATCCAAAGCTGAATTGAAAGCAGTCATGTCTTTCTTTTGCCGCAAACAGGGCGTAGGAGTGTACATGAAGTGGTTTTCCGTCCAAATCTTCACCAGGTGTTCCCCAAAGCCTCTCGGGTATTCCCTTAGACCAAGTGGAAAGTGAACCAAAGTTGAGTCAACACCCTCAGCAGATGACAAAATAAGCCAAGGACTGGGTTTCCTTCAACTCGCTGGTCCCGCAAAAGCCTTTGGAGCCATCGGCTTTCTCGTATGCGCCTGGGCTGTCTGTCAGAAGGTTCACGGTCCCAGGTAGGGGTGGTTGGTTGTAAGGCTCCCACGGGTTGTTTTGATATGTGTTCTCTCCTCACGTTCCACTTTGGAAATAGGACCCATGGCCTTGGACATCAACACCCAACAGTTGTGAACTACCTACCCTATAGATGATATTGATTGAGGGCAGGGCCAAGCTGTCGGCAACTTCTCTACGGTTGGTCCAAATGATCGTGGGCTTTAGGCTGCCCCCACCAAAATGAAGCATGTGGAAGTGCTGCCTCCAAACCTGAGCCAATGTGGAAAGGACTATATATAATATATATTATATATATATAATATGCAGCCAAAAGATTGGTAGAGCTGCGCAGATCATATTTGACATCCATATGTTCAATCAGCTAAGGTTCAATTGCGACACGGTTGCAAATCCATGAGAACCGAGGATAGTTTGGAAGTACATCTCCACTTCCCAAAGGCTGTTCAACCATGAAAATGCCGTGTGTGGCAATGGTCAAGAGCAAGGCCACCGACAACCTTTACAAGACCCGTTTTTGAATCAACCGGAAGCACCACTGGAAGCACCCATGTGTGGTTTCGTATTGTGTTTATATCAAGTAGCCCTGCCTGGATATCATAAGGTTTCCAGTTTGTACAAAGGGAACTGATAGGTCTCCAAAACAATTGATGCAGGTTCTCAACGAAGTGCCCCTGGATATACGTGTCCAGCTTGAACACACCGGAGCGAACAGGTGCAATGCTCCTGGCGATGATTGCAGCAGCATCACCAAGGCTAGCCTGGGGCGGTGCCGTCGAGTGAAACAAGTTGCTGTGGCTTTGGGCAAAAAGCTAGGTCTATTTGAGGCAATCAACGCGAATCCTGCGGAAGAGCACCAGTCCATTGAGGGTTCATCCCTGAGTTCAAAGTTGGCTACACTGTACCTGTTCTCCCTGAAGCACGCGCTTACATGGCCAGTTCCGCTGAAGAATTCCAGCATGTTGTACCGTACCGTTTCCTCAACGTTGGAAGTCCAGGTCAATAGAAGTACCTCGATTCATGTGAGTGAGTCATTTGACCACGTAATCTCACACAATAGCTAGCTATAGCATTCTTGGTCAAGGTGAGTCGCAATTGCCAGTAGCACCTGAGGCAGAGGCACAAAAAAATATATATATATTCGTGTTTGGGAAAACGAACGGTACTTTAGGCGCCCACCTTTGGGGCACCAATCTGGGCTAGGTTGAGGATCAAGTTGTCTTCTCTACGGAGCGGCATTGCGTCCAGGCCAATATATTATATCGCGCGATCTATATGTAGGAGCTCCCACAACGTTTGCAGCCAATCGAGCTACGAGAGGGTAGCATGTTGATAAACATTTTAGAGCACAAAGAAAAACTGCAAATACAGAGCGCTAGTAATCTGGTCGTGCAGGCTTCCTGAGGCTGCTCTAGAAGCAAACCGTTCAAAGTCGGGCATCAAGAATGGAAGCACCTGCGTGGGAAAGTTGTGTTTGAATGTTCATATATATATATATATATATTGGTGCTTTGCTCGTGCATTTTGAAAGCTTTTTTTTGCATGACACGTTTGCAAGGGTAAGGTGAGAACATGTGTCTTGCGTACCCCCTCCCTAAGCCATGGTGATTTCACACCCTAAGGCCTAAGGCTTCCCAGGCAAATGAATTGCATATGTACGCACCAACTCATGAGCGCAACTCCCAGCACTGTCCTATCAGCTTCATCGTGAATCATTCCCCGAAGGCCATCATGATCAGGTAGTGGAAGCATACACCTCAGTCATGAGCGAATAAACGGTTGCAAAGTGAATCGCTTTTTTCAACCAAAGGACTGCAGAGGCTGCCTTCTTTGCTTCTTCGTCGCTCCATCCTTCGCTAAGACGTAGCTTGCGTTCCTTGTGGTATGCAGAGCTTTTCCTCGACATGAGAGCCTTCTTTGCTCTCTTCGCTTCATCCTCCTTGTCACCCTTCTCGCAAGCAGGAGCCACCTTCGCCTTTGCCTTTGGCGCTGCTTTTCCCTTGGCAGCAGGCTTGGCCGATGCCTTTGGCTTGCCAGTAGTGCTGACCGCCTCGGTCATCTCTTCGTCCGCCTTTGAAGCGCCAGTCTCGTCCTTGGCCTTGCCACGCTTCTTCTTGGGCTTGTCCTCTGGCTCTTCTTCTTTGTCTTTGGGAAGTCTCTCCCTCTTCTTGCTCTTCTCAGCATTCTCCTTGGGTGCCTTCTTTGCCCCTGTCTTCATGTCACTCTCCTGATTGTTTTTGCAACGCGTCCTCTTGGTCTTTTTGCCTGATGCTACCTCTTCCGCTTCCTCATTGTTCTCATCTCCAGGCTCGACCTTTGAGGCCTTCTTTCGTTTCTTTGCTTGATTGTCTTGTTTGTTCTTTTCTTCTTTTGGCTCTTTCTCAGCGTGCTTGGCATCATCCTTGTTCTTCTTAGGCCTCCCACGTTTCTTGGGTGGGCATTGATCATCCGGAGAAATGTAGGGCAGCTTCCCAAGAGCTGCAGGCTTGCATTCGTCCTCGTCAACTGGGCCACGACCTGGAGCGGTCAAGTCTTTGTCATCCCCGCTTACTTTCAAAGGCTCTTCAATCGCAGCCGCAGCTGCAGCAGCCTCAGCTTGGCATGGTTGGCTGTCTTTGGGAAGCTCTCCAGCC